TCGTCATTTGGCTCGGTGCCAGGAGCCACTGCCCCTTTCAGACCCCTGTTTAACGACTTTGGACCGCCCTCCATGGGCTATGTGCAGGCAGTGAAGCCACCCGGAGCCCAGGGCTCCCAGAGCACCTACACGGACCTGCTGTCAGTCATAGAGGAGATGGGCAAAGAGATCCAGCCTACCTATGCTGGCAGCAAGAGCGCCATGAAGAGCCTGAAGAGAGGCATCATCCATGCCCGGGCCCTAGTCAGAGAGTGCCTAGCAGAGACAGAGTGGAACGCCCGCACGTAACAGAACTCAACTCCGCCACAGAGTCTGGACTTTTCCTGGCCACTGCAGAGCACCTGTTTCTCCCTGGCCTTCACCCCGAGATGCACTTCCCAACCTGGGCTTCCTGTCCTGTGTCCCTTGGTGGGTGCCCTCCAGGAACCAGGGGGGCTCTCACTTCAGTCAACAGCACTGACTGGGACTCTTTCGAGAGTTAGTAGCGAGGTCGCTGTGAGTCCCACCCATGACCTGCCAACAGTGTTGATCCAACTGGAGCTTGCTCCTTTCTGTGACCCCCACACTCAGCATTTACCCAGGACTTTTCACCACTTTTCCCAGACTCCTCCCCTAGCAGGGCCTCCAAAGGCCTGTCACCTCCCTGCCTTGTCTCCTGGGCCATAGTGACTCTTTTTTCAGTGTCTTTTGCTAAATATGCCCTTTTTGTATAAAAGATAATTAGGAGTTGTTCTCTCAAAAAAAAAAAAAAAGGGGCCAAAGACCTTACAGACACCTCATCAAACAAGATACACAGAAAATAAGCATATGAAAATATGCTCCACATCATATGTCATCAGGGAATGCAATTTAAAACAAGTTATCATAGGGGCTCCTGGGTGGCTCTGTCAGTTAAGCGTCTGCCTTCGGCTTAGGTCATGATCCCAGGGTCTTGGGATTGAGCCCCACATCGGGCTCCCTGCTCAGAGCCTGCTTCTCCCTCTCCCTCTGCCTCTCCCCCAGCTCATGCTCTCTCACACTCTCTCTCGCTCTCAAATAAAATCCTTAAAAAAATAATAAAAAATAAAATAAATAAAACAAGTTATCACATATACCTATTAAAATGGCCAAAATCCAGAACAATGACAACACCAAATGCTGATAAGGATATGGAGCAAGCAGAACTTTCATTCATCCATGATGAGAATGCAAAACGGTACAGCCACTTTGGGTTTCCAAACTATGTATAAATAAAAACTTGCATAAAAATGTTTATAGCAACTTTTACTCGTAATTGCAAAACCTGGAAGGAACGAAGATGTCCTTCAGTAGGCTGAACAGATAAATTGTAGTACATCCAAACAATGGAATATTATTCAGAGCTTAAAACAAATGAACTATCGAGATAGGAAAGGACATGGAGAAACCGTAAATGAGTATTACTACATGAAAAAAGCCAATCTGAAAAGGGCATATAATGTATGATTCCAATTACTATATGATATTCTTGAAAAAGCAGACTAATGGAGACAGTAAAAAGATCACTGATTGCCTGGGATTAGAAGGGAGGAATGAATAGGTGAAGCACAGAGGATTTTTAGGGCAGCAGAACTACTGTGTATGAAACTATAATGGTGTATAGCTGTCATTACACATGTCAAAACCCAGAGAGTACAATGACAAAAGTTAACCCTAAACTATGGAAACTAGTAAACTATACACTCTGGGTGATAATGATGAGTCAATGTAGGTTCATCAACTATAACAAATAAACTACCCCAGTGGGGGATGTTGATACTGTGGGAGGTCATGCATGTGTAGGGATAGAGAGTATATGGGAAATCTCCGTACCTTCCACTCGGTTTTGCTGTGAAATTAAAACTACTCTTAAAAGTCTACTTAAAAAAGGGGGCGCCTGGATGGCTCAGTTGTTAAGCATCTGCCTTCGGTCAGGTCATGATCCCAGAGTTCTGGGATCGAGTCCTCAGATCGAGCCCTGCATTGGGTTCCCTGCTCAGCGGGGAGTCTGCTTCTCCCTCTACCCCTCCCCCGCTTGTGTTCCCTCTCTTGCACGCGCTCTGTCAAATAAATAAATAAAATCTTTTTTAAAAAATTTAAAAATTTTAAAAATTAAAAACGGGTGCCTGGGTGGCTTAATTAAGCATCTGCCTTCGGCTCGGGTCATGATCCCAGAGTCCTGGGATCAAGCTCCGCATCACATCAAGCTCCCTGCCCAGAAGGGAGCTTCCTTCTCCGTCTCCCTCTGCAGCTCCCCATGCTTGTGTTCTCTATCTCTTTCTCTCGCTCGCTCTCAAATAAGTAAAATCTTTTTAAAAAACAAAACAAAACAAATCTTTAAAAAAACAAAATAGGGGCGCCTGGGTGGCTCAGTCGGTTAAGCGGCTGCCTTCGGCTCGGGTCATGATTCCAGGGTCCTGGGATCGAGCCCCATTGTTGGGCTCCCTGCTCAGCAGGGAGTCTGCTTCTCCCTCTGCCTCTGCCTCTCCCCCTGCTTGTGCTCTCTGTCAAATAAAGAAATAAAATCTTTTAAAAAAATAAATAAATAAAAGTCTATTTAAGAAAAAGGAAGAAATCCATTAATCTCAATATGTTAGCTCAAACACAGTTTTGGTCTAACAACAGTATAGCACAGTCACTAAAGTTCAGGCTGTAGAACAGGGCTCTACAAACTATGATCCTCGGGCTAAACACTTGCTCCTGTTTTTGAAAACAAAGTTTTGGGCGCCTGGGTGGCTCAGTTGGTTAAGCGACTGCCTTCAGCTCAGGTCGTGATCCTGGAGTCCCTGGATCGAGTCCCGCATCGGGCTCCCTGCTCGGCGGGGAGTCTGCTTCTCCCTCTGACCCTCCTCCCTCTCATGCTCTCTGTCTCAAATAAATAAATAAAATCTTTAAAAAAAAAAAAAGAAAGAAAGAAAGAAAACAAAGTTTTATTAGAACACAGTCACACCTACTAATTTACATAACATCTGTGGCTTTCGTACTCCAAAGGGAGAGTTGAGTAGTTATGACAGATCATATGGCCTACAAAGCCTAAAATAATTACTATCCCCAGCCCTTTGCTGAAAACATCCTGCTCTAGAACAAGTGATTCTCAACCCTGAGAGGATATCAACACCTCCTGGTGAGCTTTTTAAAAAAAATCCAGAGGCCTGGACTTGATCTAATCCTCATTTCCCCTTAAAAGAAAGATTATAATTTCATTGGTCTGGGGTTAAGGCCATTAGCTATTACTACATCAGTATAAAAAATGTGTACAAAACAGCAAAATATACAAGATAAAAGTCAGGGTAACCATTAACATAAAGATAGAGCCAGGACATTACTACAGAGACCACAGAGACCACACAGTCCTAGTCAATAAATTGGAGCCATAAGTTTGGCTCTGATCTCTATGAAACCACAAGATAAAGAGACAAGATCATTATATGATTTACAGTATTCATGAAGTCAAAACATCTTGGTGGAAGCAAATTTTCTAGGACTTCTGTCTGACTGTAAAAGGAATGTTTTATTGCAATTCTTCTCAGTGATATAAATATATTATTTACTCTTTCTCTCACCTTAAACCATCTCACCTCTTCACTCAAAACCAAAGTAAAACAAAAACCCAGACAGTAGAAGGATTTTCATATAGATAGTACCATGCTGCGTTTCCTCCTTTCTTCGTGTGTGTGTGTGTGTGTGTGTTTTGGGTGGGCAGAAGTGAGGAATAAGGATGAGTGGAAGAAATGCACAAGTGAATTGGAAGTAAGTGGCTTTACGTTCCACAAGATACTAATAAACACTAATAATAAATCCACTAATGCAAGCAGTCCTGAGTCATGACACTTAGTTCATACAAAAACGATTTATTTAGACCTATAAATCAATTCTCTTGCATTTACCCACTTATTCATTGGTATCTGTTGATTATGCCAAATGTGTCTAGACAAAGCAACAGAATACCTGTCAGGACACAGCAAAAGCACAATTTCACCTTATCAGTGTTAAATTTAAAACATGGTTTCTTAGGGCGCCTGGGTGGCTCAGTCGTTAAGCGTCGGCCTTCGGCTAAGGTCATGATCCCAGGGCCCTGGGATCGAGCCCTATACCGGGCTCCCCACTCCCCTCTGCCTCATGCTCCCCCTACTTGTGGTCACTCTGTCAAATAAATTAAAAAATCTTAAAAAAAAAAAGTGTTTAAAAAAAATGGTTTCTCTGTTTTCAAATGTGGGAAACACTGAACTGTTTATCTACAGTTTAATGGCAGCAGTCTGCCTGGTTTTGGGGGTTTTTTTCATGTGTTTGTGTGTGTGTCTACCCATTTTTTGACTGAGCTCTCATCTCCTCCACTACTCTCCCTTACATCTGACACTTTCAAAAGCAAACTACTTGTAGCTCTCTCAAATATGAACTGGTACACATGCTGTTCCTACTACCTACCTCCCTTGCCTCCCAACCTCCCTTGCCCCTTAACTCCTTAAATTCATGACTCAGCTAAACTCAGTCTTTATGAGAAATCTTCCCTGAAATCCCTAAACACTGAACTGTTCCTTAGAAGTCTCTCTAAAAGTTTCTTTTTAAAAAGAACAATTCTCGGGCACCTGGGTGGCTCAGTTGGTTAAGCGACTGCCTTTGGCTCAGGTCATGATCCTGGAGTCCCTGGATCGAGTCCCACATCGGGCTCCCTGCTCGGCAGGGAGTCTGCTTCTCCCTCTGACCCTCCCCGCTCTCATGTGCTCTCTCTCATTCTCTCTCTCTCAAATAAATAAATAAAATCTTTAAAACAAAAAAAAAGAACAATTCTCGGGGTGCCTGGGTGGCTCAGTCGTTAAGCGGCTGCCTTCAGCTCGGGTCATGATCCCAGGGTCCTGGGATCGAGCCCCGCATCGGGCTCCCTGCTCGGCAGAGAGCCTGCTTCTCCCTCTCCCTCTGTCTGCTGCTCTGCCTACTTGTGTTCTCTCTCTCTGTGTTAAACAAATAAATAAAAATCTTTAAAAAAGAATTTTTTTTTCAAAAAATAAAAAGAATTCTCAATCCACATATAAGTCACACGTTTTAGAAGTACTTATAAAAAGATTCTATGTGCCTAAAAATGTCAACATCTATAATACAAAACATTAAGACAGAATATCAAAATTAACATTAGAAGGAAAAACTTGCACCTCAACCTCATGTCCTCATACTATATAGCCAGAGACCTTGGAGTCCCTTTCCTCTCTTTCCTCCCTCTCCCAGATTCTGCCCACACAGCCAGCTAACAGTCAAGCCTTATTCCTATTTTCCAACCCACTGCTCTGCCAATCAATTCAACTGTGGAGGAGTAAAACCTGGGAAGTGTCAGAACCAATTGTGTACTAATGGTTGAAAAGACAGGGTCTATAGATTCACTTCTGTGACTGCAAATTACCTTCTGTAGGCATATTAGCTTTATGCTGGAGAATGGCTATAGGTAAAATAAGTCATCTGAGTTCTCCCTTGCCCTATCTACCCATATCCCCTTCACCAAGGTTTCCTGATACTTGCATTTATTCCTTCCTTTTCAATCATAACTGTAGCTATCTAAATTCAAGAAATATTCTTTGCATCTGGACAAATACAAGTCCTCTAAGTAGTCATTGGGCATCCAGTCTGTCTCTTCACTAATCCATCCTGTACCAATGCCAGATCAATCTTCCCAAACCACTTCAACCTTTGAGTAAAAAGTGGAAGGATACAAAACAAACTTGACAACAGTTTGGGGAAGGCAATGAGTAGGAACGTGGAGAGCAGAAGAAGAAAGGGGAATTTTAGGTTTTGCCTTTAATGCAAAAGTATTATTTGAATCTTTTAGAGGAATATATTAAATATCTAGATGCTCTTAAAAAAAAAAATACTGCTTGATACTTTTTATTTCCACAAGCAAAATTCTACTGACTGCCAAAACTAAAATTGAAAACCTTTCAAAAATAACAATTATTTTCTTCCATACAGAATATTTCCTCATTTAAATATCAGTACTATAGATCATTTTTCTCCTCCCTAAATTTAAGGCTTTATAATCTATTAGTCAATCATTTTTACATAACGATATCACATATAGTAGACATCACAACATGACATCACAGTACTTTGGAATAGTCCTTCATAGAGTAGACAGTAAATACTTGTTGAATACCAAATTAACTATTTGTTGAACTACTTCTAACATCACTATAGCCTCAAACACTCGTTTTTCTAAAAAAGAAAAGGAGCCACAGCCCATCATATTGATTCCAGGCACTAGAGATTTTAGATAATTTACCACCACTTGCTACCATCAGTTCTAAACTAGCCTCCCCGCAATCTCTTCTTGAGCTCCTTCCAATCCATACACAAGCCTCCTTCCAATCTGTTCTCTACTCTTAACATGAGTAATCTTTTTTAAAAGTAAAAATGATAATGTCATCCCACTGCTTAAAACTTTCAGTGTCTTCTCATCAGCCTCATAAAAAAGACCAACATCCTTAACATAGCCTGTAAAGCTTTATTTGATCTCATCCTTACCTAATTCCTCAAAGGTCACTCTCCCCTCTTTGCTCACTGTACTCTAGAGTACACAGGTCTTTATCTTGTTCAAAATCACTCTGCTCTCACTCACCTTTGGGCCTCTAGATATAATGTTTCTGTTCCCTCTGGTAAGCACATTGTTTTTCCTTCCCTCAAAACTTCTTGGTTAACATATATTCACTCTTCAGATCTCAACTCCAACATTACTTCTTTGACACACTAGGCTAGGTGGGGGCACCTTACATACATTCTTGGGTCAACATGTACTTCCCTAGATAAAGTTTATTAAATAAATGTGATTTATTTGATTGGGGGGGAAGCAAAGATTATCTTAAAGAAGAGATTATATCTGATTCACATAACACACTCTAGAATGTAATAAGCAGTAAAAAGTTGTTGAATAACGAAACAGGTGACAAATGAATATATTCTGTCATACTGTGAACTACGTTACATACAATTACACATATTTCATTTTACTGAACATTTCTCTTAGAACTTGGGATCCTGGGAGCGCCTGGGTAGCTCAGTCATTAAGCGTCTGCCTTCAGCTCAGGTCATGGTTCCAGGGTCCTGGGATCAAGCCCCGCATCGGGCTCCATGCTCGGCAGGAAGCCTGCTTTTCCTTCTCTCACTCCCCCTGCTTGTGTTCCCTCTCTCGCTGTGTCTCTCGCTGTCAAATAAATAAATAAAATCTTAAAAAAAAAAAAAATGTTCTTGAAGAAAGAAAAATACTAACTTCACTAAATCTTTGCCCTTAGGATGACTTATAATATTCTATGTGACAAAATGGGGAGTAAACATAAAATATTTCACATTCTAAGTATGATGGTTGCCTTTAGGAGAAAAAGCACTTGTGCAATTTATCTGCAAGCTGAAAAAGCCACTTTTCCACAGAACTTCAAAAAATGACTTCAAAAACGAGTTCATTATTACTTCAAAAAACAACTAACAAACTACAGTTATTAAGATGAGCCTATCACTTCAAGGAAAATAATTGGTAATATTTGTTGCCAATGCAAAATTCAAGCTTTCAAGCAAAAGTTAGAATTTTTGAAAACCTGTATCCATCAACATGATCTTGAAAGCTCTTCCCTACTTTTCCAAATGACCTATACAACAATTTCTACTGTAACAGAGTACAAAATGTTTACTGATATGATTTCAGAGTCCACACTGCAACCAACCTTTAGGAAACTCTTATGTGCCAAGTTCTGATGAAATACCAACAAAAATTATCCACAGGGGCGCCTGGGTGGCTCAGTCGTTGAGCGTCTGCCTTTGGCTCAGGTCATGATCCCAGCGTCCTCGGATGGAGCACCGCATCGGGCTCCCTGCTCCGCGGGAAGCCTGCTTCTCCCTCTCCCCTCCCCCTGCTTGTGTTCCCTCTCTCGCTGTGTCTCTCTCTGTCAAATAAATAAATAAAATCTTTAAAAAAAAAAAAAAAGGGCACCTGGGTGGCTCAGTCAGTTAAGCGACTGCCTTCGGCTCAGGTCATGATCCTGGAGTCCCTGGATCGAGTCCCGCATCGGGCTCCCTGCTCGGCGGGGAGTCTGCTTCTCCCTCTGACCCTCCCCCCTCTCATGCTCTCTCTCTCTCATTCTCGCTCTCAAATAAAAAATAAATAAAATCTTTAAAAAAAAAAGGGGGGGGGGCGCCTGGGTGGCTCAGTTGGTTAAGCGACTGCCTTCGGCTCAGGTCATGATCCTGGAGTCCCTGGATCGAGTCCCGCATCAGGCTCCCTGCTCGGCAGGGAGTCTGCTTCTCCCTCTGGCCCTCCCCCCTCTCATGTGCTCTCTCTCATTCTCTCTCTCTCAAATAAATAAAATAAAATTTTAAAAAATCTTTAATAAAAAAAAACCCACAAAAATTATCCACAATTACATGCAAAAAATACTCCTCCCAAATCCAACTCCTCCTTCCAACTACACAACTGTATGAAGCCAGATTTTCTCATATACTTCATAAAATACCATAACAGATTGAATGCAGAAGCAGATGAGAATTTAGCTATTAGCTAGTCACTAAAGAGATTTGCAATCATGTAAAATAATGCCACTCTTCCTATTAAACAATTTTTTTCGTTTTGGAAAATTATGGTTATTTTCAAAAAATCTATTATTTACGTTAAAATTATTAAACCCATTACATGTTATTTTAACTGAATTAATAAATATTTTAAACTTGGTCTTAATTTTGGGGGCACCTGGGTGGCTCAGTTGTTAAGCATCTGCCTTCGGCTCAGGTCATGATCCCAGAATCCTGGGATCGAGCCCCACATCGGGCTCCCTGCCTGCTTCTCCCTCTCCCGCTCCCCCTGCTTATGTTCCCTCTCTCACTGTCTCTCTGTCAAATAAATAAATAAAATCTTTTAAAAAATAAATAAACTTGGTCTTAATTTCTGATACAGTAAATATTGATATAACTCACCTAAAGTTCTCTGAGGACCTCAATACTCAAGAGTATAGAGTCCTGAGACCATAAGTTTCAGTATTATTGATCTATATTGTAGAAAACTGATCAAGAGATAAAGAAAAAGACATTCTAACACATCCTCCCCTACATATTCTCTGTTCAGTAAGACTTGGAAAAAATTGATTTTAACAAAAAGGTTTTAAGAATGTTTAAGAGGAGGGCGCCTGGGTGGCTCAGATGGTTGGGCATCTGCCTTCAGCACAGGTCATGATCTCCAGCTCCTCAGATCAAGCCCCCTGTCAGGCTCCCGGCTCAGCGGGGAGTCTGCTTCTCCCTCTCCCTCTGCCTCTCTCCCTGCTTGTGCTCTGTCTCTCTCTCTCTCTCTCTCAAATGAATAAATAAAATCTTTAAAAAGTAAAAAAAAAAAAATTTTTTTTAAAGAATGTTTAAGAGGAATCACAGTTCAAAACAACTGGAATTAAATCATTTCCTCAACAATCTGTTTATTCAGTGTTTTGATATCTTAATTATAACAAAGTAAACATTTAAACATAACATCTGCTAACAACACAATGGAAGGAACAGGTATAAGTAAATCAGAGATTTGTTTTTTTGTTCTGGAGAAAACTGAAGAACTCAGAAACTAATGAAAAACACCAGAATTGTCAGGCTGGAAGTCAAATACACAGGAACAAACTTTACTAAAAATCAGAATTGTCAATCTGGGGATTAGGAGTGTACTTGTCATCATGAGTATCTGGTGATGCATAGAACTGTTGAATCACTATATTGTACACCTGAAACTAATATTACACTGTGTATTAAATAACTGGAATTAAAACTTAAGAATTTTTTTAAAAAATAGGGGCGCCTGGGGCGCCTGGGTGGCTCAGTTGGTTAAGCGACTGCCTTCGGCTCAGGTCATGATCCTGGAGTCCCAGGATCGAGTCCCGTATCGGGCTCCCTGCTCGGCAGGGAGTCTGCTTCTCCCTCTGACCCTCCTCCCTCTCATGCTCTCTGTCTCTCATTCTCTCTCTCTCAAATAAATAAATACAATCTTTAAAAATAAAATAAAATAAAAATTAAAATTAAAATAGGGGCGCCTGGGTAGCTTGGTTGGTTAGAGCGTCTGCCTTCGGCTCCGGTCATGATTTCCAGGTTCTGGGATACAACCACACGTCAGGCTTCCTGCTTAGTGGGGAGTCTGCTTCTCCCTCTCCATCTGCCCTTCCCTCCCACTCATACACGCACAAAATCTTAAATTCTTTAAAAAAAAATTTTAATAAAAATAAAGAATTGTCACTGGACATAAGCCAGTTCAAAACAGAAGGTAAAAGACAGTTAAATGCTGGTTACAATAAAACTAATTCATGATGGAATGAGGACTAGAACCAAGCTTCCAGACTTCTTTTTTTTTTTTTTTAATTTTATTTATTTGACATAGAGACAGAGAGAGAGGGAACACAAGCAGGGGGGAGTAGGAGAGGGAGATGCAGGCTTCCAGCTGAGCAGGGAGCCCGATGCGGGGCTCGATCCCAGGACACTGGGATCATGACCTGAGTTGAAGGCAGACGCTTAACCGCCTGAGCCACCCAGGCGCCCCCAAGCTTCCAGACTTCTTTACACTTTATGAGAATTTATGTGCCAGGTATTGAGCAGGTAGTGGAGCTACAGAAATAAACTAGAAAAACCTGGTCCGGCTTTCTTGGAGATTGGCATCAAGCGTCAAACAGGTGCAATGAGTGCTACAGAGGCTATAGGATTCTATGTGAGCATTTAACAGGGTATAAACTGAGGTCTCTAAGGAAGTAACCTCCTTATAAGTGTCATCTACCAACATCCACCACACTGGAGGGACTCTAACATCTGGCTCACTAATTCACCACTATTCATATCATTTTTCTTAGGGATGTCAACATACACTCAGATAATCCACCAAAAACCCTTGCCTCTCACTTGACCTCCTGAACTGGAACAATTTTTTTTTTTTAAAGATTTTATTTATTTTTCAACAGAGAGAGAGAGACAGCGAGAGAGGGAACACAAGCAGGGGGAGTGGGAGAGGGAGAAGCAGGCTTCCCGCGGAGCAGGGAGCCCGATGTGGGGCTCGATCCCAGGACCCTGGGATCATGACCCGAGCCGAAGGCAGACGCTTAACGACTGAGCCACCCAGGTACCCCCTGAAACAATTTTTGTTCCATTTTTTTCTTCACCACAGTCAAAAACTCCCATGATCACAAGTAATTACATCGATTTCAAAAATCTAGATTTCAAAAATCCCACATTCTAAACACACAACTTCCATCTCTACAGTTTACTTACTCTAGTACCTCAATTCCAACTATCCTTTCATACCACAGCACTTCCCACTCATTAATCCTCCCAGTTTTTCACTACCCATGTCCCAACTAAGATGTGCTGTTAAGTATAAAATACATCAGATTCCAAATACTTAGTACAAAAAAAAAAAAAAAAAGCAGTAAAAGATCCCTTTAATTAACTATGCTGGTTGCTTACTGAAATAATTATTTTGGATGCACTAGGTCATTATAATTAATTTCAACCTGTTTCTTCACACTTATTTAATGTGGCTATTAGAAAATTTTTAAATTACGTATGTGCCTCACATTATATTTCTGTGAGACAGTGCTTATCTATTCTGTGATGACTCCTAAACATTGATCACCAACTCTGACTCTTTTCTAAGCTCCAGAATGACCATCTGGCCTATTTGGTTGTCTAACTGGTATCTCATACTTAACAACCAGTACTCTTGATTATCCTCCCACACATGTACTACCATCCACTGACATACTTAGAAAAAAATTTGAACTAGAAGTCATCCTTAGATTCCTTTCTTTCCTTCATACCCCATATCCAATCCACCAGTAAGTCCAGTCCAGCTCTGCCTTAAAAATATCCAAGCTCTCCCCCCTTAATTCCCCACCCCACACTAAAGTATAAGCAATTCTCATTTCCTGCCTGGACTACCAGGATACCCTCCCCGCTGGTTGATTCTGCTCTTGCCTTCCCTTCAGTATGTTTTCCACTCAGTAGCCTGAGTGGAATTTTTCTTTAAAAAAAATTCTTTTAAAAATGATTATTTTAAAAACTTCTTTTAAAAGGTAAATCAAGTACTCTAATGATACCCCAACACACTTGAATAAAATCAAACCACTTTTCAAGGCCTTCAAGGCCCTACATAATCTGGCTCCTGACAATCTCTGACCTTTCTCCTACCAGTTTCCCTCTCACTAACTATCCTCTAGCCACATTACCCTTAGAAAGATTTTTCCCATCTTTCCTTTTCCACAGATCTTCACATGGAAGATGTCAGATCTACCTTCCACGTCTCAGCTCTAATGTCACCTCCACATAGTACCACTCCCTAACTTCCTTAAAGAAGTCCTCCTTCCAATTCAAATTTTCTGTATCATCACCCCATTTAAGTATCTTTCTGGTGTTTTTTTTTTTTTAACCAGGTCAGAGTAATATTAGGTTTATTTGCTCTGTTGTATTTAATATTTTTAGTATAATTGACACACAATGTTACAGTAGTTTCAGGTGTACAACAGTGATTCCAGAGAAGTCTATACCTTATGCTATGCTCACCACAAGTGTAGCTACCATCTGTCACCATACTATTACAGTATCATTAACTATATTCCCTATGCTGTGCCTTTTATTCCTATGATTTATTCATTCCATAACTGGAAGCCTGTATCTCCCACTCCCCTTCGTCCATTTTGCCCACACTCCCTTCCCTCTGGCAACCATCACTTTGTTCTATGTATTTACAAGTCTGATTCTACTTTTTGTTTACTCATTTGTTTTGTTTTTTAGATTCCACATGAGTTAAATCCTATGGTATTTGTCTTTCTTGGTCTGATTTATTTCACTTAGCATTATACCCTCTAGGTTCATCCATGTTATCACAAATGGCAAATTCTCGTCCTTTTCATGGCTAAATAATATTCCACTGTGTGTGTGTGTCTGTCTGTCTGTCTACCACATCTTCCTTATCCATACATCTATCGATGGACATTTTGATTGCTTCCATATCTTGGCTATTGTAAATAATGCTGCAATAAACACAGGAGTGCATATATCTTTTCAAATTAGTGTTTTCATTTTCTTTGGGTAAATACCCAGAAGTGAAATTATTGGATCATATAGTATTTCTTTCTTTTTAACTTTTTTTTTTAAGATTTTATTTATTTATTTGAGAGAGACACAGCAAGAGAGGGGACACAAGCAGGGGGAGTGGGAGAAGCAGGCTTCCCACTGAGCAGGGAGCCCGATGCGGGGCTCGATCCCAGGACCCTGGGATCATGACCTGAGCCAAAGGCAGATGCTTAACGACTGAGCCACCCAGGCACCCCTGGATCATATAGTATTTCTAATTTTTTGAGGAAGTTACATACTGTTTTCCACAGTGGCTGTACTAATTTACATTCCCACCAAGAGTGCACAGGGTTCCTTTTTCTCCACATCCTCACCAACATTTGTTATTTTTTGTCTTTTGTGATTCAAACCATTCTGACAGGTATAGGTGATATCACTGTGGTTTTGATTTGCACTTCCCTGATGATTAGTAATGTTGAGCATCTTTCCATGTGTCTGTTGGCCATCTGCACAACTTCTTCAGAAAAATATCAATTCAGGTCCTCTGCCCATTTTTTAATCACTTTGTTTTCCCATTTAATTTTCCAAACAGCACTTCTCCCTATCTAAACAGTCTTATTTTTTGGTGTTTATTGTCTGTCTCCTCATCCCTATAATGAAAACTTCCTAAGGGTAGGTACTTGGCCTTACTATAGTATCTCTGGGACCTAAGAGTACCTGACACATGGTAGGTACTCAAAGAATTTTTATCAAGTGAAGAATAAATACGTACAGTAATTTTCTCTGAACTACAAGACCTGACAAATGGTAATATTCAGACTGAGAAACAAGCTTTCTAGTGAGAGAACGACAGTTGAGAAGGCAGAAAAGAATGAAATTTCAAAAACTGAAAGACCAAAAAAACTAGTTAAGATGAGGGTAATGGGATGAACGCAGCAAGACTAGAAAAATAGGAGCTATGCTATAAAGGGCCTCTTAGGTATTACTGTGAGACCGTATACTTATGGGGAATTACTGAAAGATTTTTAAGCAGGGAGTGACATGATCAGATTTCTCTTTTGAAAATACCACTTGAGCCACAGTATAGATAATGGGAATGTGATCAGGGGAAGGTATGTGGTGATGTAAAGACAATTAGAAGCTATAGCAGTTGTCTAAGCTTTACATTGGGATGGTATAGATGGAATAGGCCAATTGAAGAGATACTTACAAATCAACAGGACCTGTTACAGACGAACTGGGAGGAGAGGACAAAGACAAAGAGGAATAATGGAGTCAAGAATGATGTCTAGGTTTCTAATAAATGAGTGAATGGACAGTAGTAAAGGAGACTGGGGAAAGGTGATGAATTCAGTTTCTAGCATCTTAAGTCTGAGGCACCTATGATTCAAACAAGTAGAGGTATCATAGGCCATTTAATACTTAAAAGTAGGGTGGGGAGTTGGAGAAAATAAGTGAAGGGGAGTGGGAGCTATAGTCTTCAAGTTATGGAATGAATAAGTCACAGGGTAAAAGATACAAATAGGGAAGATAGTCAATGATACTGGAATAGCATTGTATGGTAACAGATGGTAACTACACTGTAGTGAGCATAGCATAATGTAGAGACTTCTCTGGAATCACTACCCTGAACATCTGAAACTAATTTAACACCATGTATTAACTACACTCCAAAAAAAAAAAAAGGAACACCTAGTACCTTAAAAAATAGTAAAGTTAAATTTAAAAAAAAATATTTAAAAGTAAAGGAGAACAAGGGGCTAGAAAGTAACAGGGAAAGTAGGAAAGAATGCCATCACAAAAGCCAAAGGATTAGCTTTTCCAAAAAAGGGGAAATAATCAATTGTGTGAAATGATGCTGAGAAGACAAGCAAAATGAGAACTAAACAGGGGGGTGCACATCTGGGTGGCTCAGTAGTCGGTTGAGTATGCAACTCTTAGTTTCAGCTCAAGTCATGATCTCAGGGTCATTGAGATCAAGCCCCACACTAGGCTTGGGACTCTCTCTCGCTCTGTCCCTCCCACTCGTGCACACACATGCTCTCTCCCTCTCTAAAATAAATAAATCTTTAAAAAATATCTACCATTAAAAAAAGAGAACTCAGCAGAATTCAATGAATTTTGCAGCATGTAGATTACTGAACACAATTTCAGTGCAGCAGTGACGATGACAGACAAAACAGAACAGGTTAAAGAGTGAATGCAGGGGCGCCTGGGTGGCTCAGTCGTTAAGCGTCTGCCTTCAGCTTGGGTCATGATCCTAGGGTCTGGGATCGAGCCCCACACTGGGCTCCCTTCTCAATGGGAAGCGGGCTTCTCCCTCTCCCACTCCCCCTGCTTGTGTTCCCTCTCTCGCTGTGTCTCTCTCTGTCAAATAAATAAATAAAATCTTTAAAAAAAAAAAAAGAGTGAATGCAAAGTGAGGGATGGAGAAAGGTGCAGACGATAATTTTAAAAAAACTCTTAAGCAACATAGATAAGAGCAACATGGCTCTATGAAGTCAAAGGATAATTTTCTCATATGGGAAAGACTTGAGATGTTTTGATTCCAACTGCACAAATTCAATAGAGAAGGAAAGATATAAGAAGTGTAAGCCTTCTGAAAAGGTAAGAGAAAACGGCACTCAGAGCAAAGATAAGGACTGACCTTAGCTAGGAGGAAGGACATCTCTCCTCCACTACAAGAAGGAAGTAGAACAGGTTGGATACGGATGCTAGTAGGCTTGGAGATGTAGTGGTAAGAAATTATATGTCATATAATGAGGACCATTTTCTCTATGGAATAAAGGATTAGAAAAGAGATTTTAAAAGGGAAGAGAAAATTTAAAACAGTTTATGGTGAGCAAAAGAATATACTGATGTGAAAAATACAGTGGGATTGCTGGGCTATGTTAAGGGCCCACTTCTGAGTATAACCATGATTTTAAAATGGCACTCACAGGGGCACCTGAGTGCCCCTGTGAGTGCCCCATATCATAATCTCGGGGTCATGAGATGGAGCCCCTCATCAGCTCTGCACTCAGCAGGGAGTCTGATTCTCTCTCTCCCCCTCTCCTTCTGCCTCCCCCCATCATGCTCTCTCTAAAATAACTAAATCTTTAAAAAAAAATAAAAAATAAAATGGCACTCATAAACCCTTTCCAGTACACAACTTTTTTAAATATGTATTTGTTATTGTCTTAGGTTGCTAATATTTGAACCAACAAGTATCTTTTTCCACATGACGCATTATATACATTTCCATGTTTACCTTTCTGGAAGACATTAATTCCCCATGGCATAAATAGAAAGGGTTCTCAAAAAGCACCATGTTTGGGGCACCTGGCTGGCTCAGTAAGATTCTTGATCTCAGTGTTGTGAGTTCAAGCCTCAGGCTGGGTGCAGAGATTACTTAAAAAAAAAATTTTAGGGGCATCTGGGTGGCTCAGTCAGTTAAGCATCTGCCTTCGGCTCAGGTCATGATCCCAGGGTCCTGGGATCGAGCCCCACATCGGGCTCCCTGCTCGGTGGGAAGCCTGCTTCTCCCTCTCCCACTCCCCCTGCTTCTCCCTCTCCCACTCCCCCTGCTTGTGTTCCCTTTCTCGCTTTGTCTCTTGTCAAATAAATAAATAAAATCTTTACAAAAAAAAATGCAATTTTATCACAGCATGCAGAAACTACTACTAGGAATTAAATAAAAAGCATTCAGGAAACATGTGACTTAAAGGTAAATTGAATTTTTTTCAATATACATTGTCATTAGCACAGTATTTTTGTTCCCTTTAAGTTTCAAGGAGATAAAGAAAATTTGCTCTAATTAAAAGCAGCTGAGAATATCCAGATGCACATCTTGCATACTAAGCTTCATTTAAGCTCTGAATAAGAATTCACATTTGATTTAATAATTAGATAATCTTACACAAGTTTCAGAATGTTTTTAGTTTTTAAAATATATTATAAAAAAAGGGGGGCGGGCACCTGGGTGGCTCCATCGTTAAGCATCTCACTTCGGCTCAAGTCTTGATCCCAGGGTCCTGGGATCAAGCCCCACATCGGGTGAGCAGCTTCTCCCTCTCCCATTCCCCCTGCTTGTGTTCCCCTCTCGCTGTGCATCTCTCTGTCAAAAAAATAAAATCTTTAAAAAAATAAATAAATAAAAATAAAATAAAATACATTATGACAAATATTTTCTGCCTTAATATGAGTTTACCAACTATACAGCAAAAACTTTCAACACATTCTTTAAAGGCTGTACACAGAAGTGTTTTTTTAAAGATTTTAAGTAATCTCTATAGCCAACATGGGGCTCAAACTCACAACCCCAACATCAAGAGTCACAAGCTCCACCAACTTGTAACTGTCTAAGCCATGTATATTTCTAAAAAATTTAAAATTTGTGCAATTACCATATTTAATATTACTTTGGTAATCAGGGGGGAAATTAAGCTTATAAATAAAATGAAAAATTAGGGGCGCCTGGGTGGCTCAGTCATTAAGCATCTGCCTTCTGCTTGCATCATGATACCAGGGTCCTGGGATCAAGCCCCGCATCTGGCTCCCTGCTCCGCGGGGAGCCTGCTTCTCCCTCTCCCACTCCCCCTGCTTATGTTCCCTCTCTCGCTGTGTCTCTCTCTGTCAAATAAATAAATAAAATCTTTAAAATTTTTAAAAAAATAAAAAATAAAATAAAATGAAAAATTAGGGTCTAAGTCTTATTTTCTATCAACTTACAATGAAATTCTGAGTATACGTTCATGCCTGGAATTCCCTCATTACACTGCAATATAATGGTACTATAGTACAAACGTAAGTTATATATTTCACAACAAGAGTATTATAAACCACTCCTAGGTGTATATATGCCAAAGAACTGCAAAGAAGCACTCAAATAAATACCATACATGAATATTTATAGCAATACCATTCACAATAGCCAAAAGATAGAAACAACTCAAATGTCCATCAATGGATGACATACACTCAGTCATAAAAAGGGACTAAGTACTAACACATGGTATAAAATGCTATAAAATGAATGAATCTCAAAAATATTATACTTACTCTGAAGGGAAAGAAGCCAGAAACAATCGTATAATTCCACTTATATGAACTATATAGAATAGGTAAATTCAGAGAGAGAGACAGCAAATTGGTGGATGCCAGGTACTAGGTGGGTAGGGATAGAGACAAACTGCTTAATGAGTACAAGGTTATTTTGAGGGGTCATAAAAATGTTTTGGAACTAGATCAAGGTGACGAATGCACAACACTGTAAATGTACTAAATACGATTGAACTATATACTTTAAAATGGTTGGTTTTATATTATATGAATTATACCTCAATAAAAAAATTCCACTTGGGAGCTCCCCTCTACTTGCTATGTGGAATGATCCCGAATTCATGAATTGCTTAATAAAGCCAATTAAATCCTCAAAAAAAAAAAAAACCTCCATTACAAACCAAATAATATAGCTATATCTAATCAACCTGTGGCAGGAATCACTAACAAAATTAGCTATAAGTTAAAAATATGTTGGGACGCCTGGGTGGTTCAGTTGGTTAGATGTCTGCCTTCAGCTCAGGTCATGATCCCAGGATCCTGGGAGTGAGTCCCACCACGGGCTCCTTGCTCAACAGAAAGCCTGCTTCTCCGTCTGCCAGGCTACCTGTGCTCTCTCTGACAAATAAAATTTTTTTTTTAAAACTAAAAATATGTTAACTGTAAATATATATATATTAATTATTTTAGAGGTCTTTACTTTCTGTCACAAGTAAATTATAGTAACATTCATTATCTTTTTTCTCTACATATAAAAGTTATGCAATGGATTTAATAATAAGCCTTTATCTTTTAGTGGAATATACTAAAATATTTATGGATAAAATGATATGTAAAAAATAGGCTTTTTTTTTTTTTTTAAAGATTTTATTTATTTGACAGAGAGAGACAGCAAGAGAGGGAACACAAGCAGGGGGAGTGCGAGAGGGAGAAGCAGGCCTCCTGCCTAGCAGGGAGCCCAATGCAGGGCTCGATCCCAGGACCCTGGGATCATGACCTGAGCCGAAGGCAGACGCCCAACGACTGAGCCACCCAGGCGCCCCAAAGATAGACTTTTTAATAATAGTAGGGAGATTTAAGAGGAATATAGATAAAAGGAGACTCACCATGAGTTAATAATTGTTAAAGGTGGGTGATGAACATTTGAGGTTTCATTATATATTCTCTCCATTTCTGAATGTTTAAAATTTTCCATAACTTTTTAATTATTGTGTTAATTATTGGTAAAATAAGATTTAAAATTAGTTTCTTTATACATTAAGTTATATTTGAAATAATCCTACCAATATTCCTTAATCAACATAAATCACAATTCTGCCAACATTTGAAGTTGCTAAAGCTCAGACACATATCAAAATTAGAATCTATTTGGGGTGCCCGGGTGGCTCAGTCGTTAAGCATCTGCCTTCGGCTCAGGTCATGATCCTAGGGTCCTGGGATCAAGCCCCGCATCAGCCTCCCTGCTCTGCAGGAAGCCTGCTTCTCCCTCTCCCACTCCCCCTGCTTGTGTTCCTGCTCTCTCTCTCTGTCAAATAAATAAATAAAATCTTTAAAAAAAAATTAGAATCTGTTTGATAACAAATACATATTATCTTTCTAAGGATGTTTTATTTTGCTTTCAGATTTTCTTCACAAACTTCAATTTACTACAAACTATTTCTAAGAAAACTTCATTTTGTAAATAGAGAAAATTAGTAGATCCAAAGTTGACTGTACTTATTTCAGTTGACACAGAGTGGTAACACTAAAAAACTTGAATAGAAAATTTCAAGTCTCCTTTCTAAGGAATTAATGTTTACTGTTAAAATGATCAGATCAGCTATTTCCTTTAAAAATGAAATCCAGGGGCACCTGGGTGGCTCAGTCGGTTAAGCGTCTGCCTTTGGCTCAGGTCATGGTCCCAGGGTCCTAGGATCGAGCCCCGCATCGGGCTCCCTGCTCAGCGGGGAGTCTGTCTTTCCCTCTCCATCTGCCTCTCCCCCAGCTCATGCTCTCTCTCACTCTCTCTTGCTCTCAATGAAATGAAATGAAATCCCGGGATGCCTGGGTGGTTGAGTTGGTCAAGCATTTGCCTTCAGCTCAGGTCATGATCCCAGAGTCCTGGGATTAAGTACAGCATCGGGCTCCTTCCTCTTCCCCCTGTTCATGTTCACTATCTCTCTTTCTCTCAAATAAATAAAATCTTTAAAAAAAAAAAACTTTAAATAAATAAAAATAAAATCCAATAATTACTATTTTCCAAATGTTTTATCTTCTCAATGCTGTAATTTTTTTTTTTTTTTTAAAGTAGACTCCATGCTGGGCTCCAACCCAGAGCTGGAAACTCATGACCCTGAGATCAAGACTTGAGCTGAGATCAAGAGTTGGCCGCTTACCGATTAAACCACCCAGGCACCCCTTAATGCTGTAATTTTTTTTAAATCCCTTATTTTTTGATATAGTGTCTTAATAAATAATTAGGGACTAAAAAATTTCTAGTTCTGGGGTTTGACTATTATTTTTTCTAAAATCAAACACTTTAATGGAGATCAAAATCGACACAAAAAGACATTAGAAAAACTATACAACTCCCCCAAAATTCAAACTTTTTTTTTTAAGTTTTGTGTTTTTTTTTTCCCCCAGTAATCTCTACAGCCAACATGGGGCTCAAAGCCACAACTCAGAGCTCAAGAGCAAGATCAAGAGTCGCATGCTTTTCAGACTGACTGAGCCAGCCAGGCACTCTTCAGACTTTTTTAATGACCCTAAATTAGCATTTAACTATTACTTTAAACTTACTTTTCATACCAACATGGAATTTTTATGGAATTACATCTACATAATCTAATGTTTGATTCAGCCTCTTCTCCCAATGTTAGTGCTCTTCCTTTCTGGCTAATATATTTCTGTCTGTTAACTCACAGATGTAATTCCTAAGACAAATTTCACTCAAGATAGATAAAAAGGGTTATTCTAAATAACTGAGATTAGGATGGATTGGAAATGGTAGGGTTATTCCAACCACAACCACAGATCAGACCGCCATTTGTTCAAATACCTTTCTTCCACTACAAGAAGTATTAGCATTCTTCAGCTCTCAGAACCAAATGGAGGAAGCAGAAGCACACAGAAGGAATTAAAAAGTGTCATCATCCTGAGGGCCCAGGATGTCCAAAAGACACAAGCATGCTAAAACTCAGGATCTAAACAGATCAGGACTAGATCAAAGCACCACAGGTAAAGTTCTTATTAGTATTAAAGTTACAAAAGGAAAAAGGAGAGGACATTAATTTTATTTATTGTTTTTAAGATTTTATTTATTTTGGGGCACCTGGGTGGCTCAGTCGTTAAGCATCTGCCTTCGGCTAGGGTTGTGATCTCAGGGTCCTGGAACTGAGCCCCGCATCAGGCTCCTTACTCAGGGGGGACCCTCATTCTCCCTCTCCCACTTCCCCTACTGTGTTCTCTCTCTCACTGTCTCTCTCTCTCTGTCAAATAAATAAATAAAATCTTTTTTTTTTTTAAAGATTTTATTTATTTGACAGAGAGAGACACAGCGAGAGAGGGAACACAAGCAGGGGGAGTGGGAGAGGGAGAAGCAGGCTTCCCGCGGAGCAGGGAGCCCGATGCGGGGCTCGATCCCAGGACCCTGGGATCATGACCCGAGCCGAAGGCAGACACTTAATGACTGAGCCACCCAGGTGCCCCAATAAATAAACTCTCTAAAAAAAAAAAAAAAGATTTTATTTATTTTGACTGGGGAGGGTTAGAGGAGGGAGAGAGAATTTCAAGCAGATTTCACACTGAGCACAGAGCCCAACACAGGGCTTCATCTCACCACCCTGAGATCATGACCTGAGTGGAAACCAAGAGTCAGATGCTTAACTGACTGAGCCACCCAGGCACTCCAGGACATTAGTTTTAATACAAACTTTCAAATGACATACAGCCCTAAAAAATAATCCATATTCTTGAGAGTATTATTATTAAGAATTGATATAATATTCTATCCTTACGAACAGACTTTTGTAAGACCTAATATGCAAGGTCAGATCCTATCTGCTTCACTGCAACATTAATAAACATGTTGTGGGGGCGCCTGGGTGGCTCAGTCGTTAAGCGTCTGCCTTCGGCTCAGGTCATGATCCCAGGGCCCTGGGATCAAGCCCCGCATCGGGCTCCCTGCTCCGCGGGGAGCCTGCTTCTCCCTCTCCCACTCCCCCTGTTTGTGTTCCCTCTCTCGCTGTGTCTCTGTCAAATAAATAAAATCTTTAAAAAAATAAAAATAAAAAATAAACATGTTGTGACATGGTATAGATCAACTAACAACTAACTGAGGATCTGCCATAAAATTATCTAAAGCCCTGTTTTGAAAAAAATAAATAAAATTTAAAAATAAAGTCCTGGGGCACATAGCTCAGTTGGTTAAGCATCTGCCTTTGGCTTGGGTCGTGATGTCGGGGTCCTGGGATCAAGCCCCACATGGGGCTCCCTGCTCAAGGGGGTGTCTGCTTCTCTTTCTGCCTCTGCCCCTTCTCCCACTCATACTCTCTCACTCAGTCTCTCTCAAATAAAATATTTTTTAAAAAGCCCTGTATTTACTTTAAATATAATTGTCGTAACTTTAGTTTCACATGTACATCATTCAGTATGTGTATATACTGCAAAATGATCACCACAATAAATCTAGTTAACATCCATCACCACACAGTTGTAACTTTTTTTCTTTCCTATGGTGAAAATTTTTAAGATCCATTCTCTTAGCAACTTTCAAATGCACAATTCAGTATTAACTATAGTCACCACACTGTACATTACTAAAAGCCTATTTAATTCATTTAGATTTCCAACCTAGATCTCTAATTTCACAAGCCCCTGCTGTACTCAAAATGCAAAGTGCAATTCTAAGAATTACACCATTTCCAATCCATCCTAATCTCCTTAATCATTTTGACTGTCTTTACCTGAACCTAATTCGTGTGGAAATCAGAAATAACCATATTATTTCAAGACTTTTTTGTTAACTTCTACTAATTTTGTTTAAAGATTTTATTTATTGGGGCGCCTGGGTGGCTCAGTTGGTTAAGCAACTGCCTTCGGCTCAGGTCATGATCCTGGAGTCCCGGGATCGAGTCCCGCATCGGGCTCCCTGCTCAGCGGGGAGTCTGCTTCTCCCTCTGACCCTCCCCCTTCTCATGTGCTCTCTCTCTCATTCTGTCTCTCAAATAAATAAATAAAATCTTTAAAAAAAAAAAAAAAAAAAAAAGATTTTATTTATTTATTTGAGAGAGAGCGCGCAAACACAAGCAGGTCGAGGGGCAGAGAGAGGGAGCAGTAGACTTCCCGCTGAGCAGGGAGCCCAATACGGGGCTCAATCTCAGGACCAGGAGATCATGACCTGTCCCAAAGGCAGAAGCTTAATCGACAGAACCACCCAGACGCCCCTGTTAACTTCCACTAACTATTCTACAAATTTTATCACAATTGCAAAGCTGAATCAGAATTTAAAAAACAGACAAGGATGCATAGAAAGGAAAAGGATCCACTAAGCTCAATGAAAAACTAGCCTGATCCCTATAATTCAGCACTTTGGTGATGAAGGCAAGCCCCCAAATTACAAACATACCTGTTCTTGTATTTCCAACTTGGAATTCAGAAGAAACAATGATAAAATAGTTGTTAGGTTCCTAGACTTGCCCAACAAGAGTCTATTTATCCCATGACATTTTTTTTTTTTAAGATTTTATTTATTTATTTGACAGAGCGATAGAGAGCAGGAACACAAGCAGGGGTGGTGAGAGAGGGAGAAGCAGGCTTCCCGCTGAGCAAGGAGCCCGATGCAGGACTCGAGCCCAGAACCCCGGGATCATGACCCGAGCTGAAGACAGACGCTTAACGACTGAGCCACCCAGGCATCTCTCCCATGACACTTCTGAATTAGTCTCTTGAGCTCTAGACTCATTCGAGTCTGGAGACAGTGTGATATGGTAAGACTGTAGCCTGTGGAGCCTCTCAGAGTTAGGCAGAAACCCTGACTGCCAATTACTAACTGTATAATCAAACAAAATTCATTTAACTTTTCTGACTTCTAATTTCCTCATCTGTGAGAATACTGCCTATCATGGAGAGTTTTTGTAAGGATTAAAGATAATACAAATCAATCAGCAAAGACTATGACAGAGTAGGTACTCAATAAATAGAAGCGATTATAGTACCCTCTTCACACAAGCTTTTTATCCTCTATGCTGAGGTAAATACCCCAGTCAGTATTCATTAAAAGGAACTGAGGAGGGGCGCCTGGGTGGCTCAGTCGTTAAGCGTCTGCCTTTGGCTCAGGTCATGGTCCCAGGGTCCTGGGATCAAGCCCCACATCGGGCTCCCTGCTCTGCGGGAAGCCTGCTTCTCCCTCTCCCACTCCCCCTGCTTGTGTTCCCTCTCTCGCTGTGTCTCTCTGTCAAATAAATAAATAAAATCTTTAAAAAAAAAAAAAGGAACTGAGGATATGGAATCAGAAAATCTGGGTTTGAATCCAGACACTGTCTAATACAAGATACGGAATTTTAGGCTAGGCACTTGATGCCTCTTAACTGCAGACTGATCATCTGTTAAAAAAAAAGAAAATCATAGAATTACTGTAATAATTGACATTATTTATAACTGGCATACATTGTACAGTATCACAAACATTAGCTTTTACGTACTCCAAAGTATTCCTTCTCAAAAATTACCTGCCTTCCAAGATCAAATGTGCATAATGAGCAATGAGCATAAGCTAACATCATGGAAAAAGAAAAACAAGGTAAACTAAGTAGCTCACTGATGATATCCCCTTCATACTCCCAGACTTTAGAATATACTTGTTAGGGTCGCCTGGGTGGCTCAGTCGTTAAGCGTCTGCCTTCAGCTCAGGTCATGATCCCAGGGTCCTGTGATGGAGTCCCCCATGGGGTTCCTTGCTCAGCGGGAGCCTGCTTCTCCCTCTGCTGCTCCCCCTGCTTGTGATCTCTCTCTCTCTCTCTCTCTCTCTGACAAATAAATAAATAAATAAAATCTTAAAAAAAAAAAAAAGTCCCAGATTTTAAAAAAAGGAATACACTTGCTAACCCAAATATAGCTCTGGTTGGGGGAATGCGAGGCAGAAAAATTAAATTAACAAGTTAAGTTGTATGGAAGACTTGTATGTCTTTCCCCAATCTAGCAATCTGCATGCTGAGAAACTTTTCTTAAGCAGTTTCTCCTCCTTTTCACTTAGCTTACCTTCCTATTCCCCAAGACAGTTCCCATGACAAAGGCAATACAGACCCTAAAGTAGAGCAAAGAGAACTGGCCAGAAGAGTGTGTGCAAGTTGAGGAGTACTGTCCTTGACATAACCCACCAGAAAAACTCAGACTAAAGACAGAAAAAGGCAAAGATTATTCCTCATGTCTTTATAAAAAATATTTTATATTTTGAATATTATTTCCCCATAGCAATTTCAAAAGCCCCATCCTTTTTACAATAATAGACTCTTTTGAGAAGTTTTGCTATTAATAAAACAATTTAATAATTAAAGTCAACAGGACCTGACGAGCTAAGAACATGCTCTAGGCTCAACTGCACTACAGCCAAAAGACCTTGTCTGCTAAACAACTCACCTGAACTGAACTGTAGGAAAACAAAACAAAAATTGAACTCAGGATAAAAATCACCCAGGCAATAAATTAACTCATCTTGAGTATAAAAAATTCTCAAAACACAAGTGACTGCATATTTTCCCTGAGAGGTTGTATGTTTATGTAGGAAGTTGGTTATAACCCAATCAGGGTCACAGAAAGGATATAGAAAGATCTCAAAAGACATCTAAATGGATATATCTAGCACCAAAGTTAGCAGCACAGCATGCCACAAAGACAGCTACTGTATCAACTTCCACAGTCTCCATCATCTCTGAGCCTTTCTGAGCCTGACCCCACCTGAGCATCTCAGGAAAGCAGTTAGTAGCCTGCATCATGCTGCCCAAGGTTTCAAGGCTACTAAAACAAACATTGTGTGAATTTCATCTCCCACGCGCCCCCCCCCCCCACAGGAAAATCAGAATACCTCACTGGTGTCAAGTTTACAACAACCAAAAACAATTTGGGGCCACTGGCAATGGCTATGGCACCATGGTACTAACATGTTTAAGAGAGACTACAAGAGAAATACCATGATTTCTCTTAACTAGGAATATTACCAATAAAGTTTAAAAGTGCTTCAGAGCTACATGATAGTGGCAAGAGAAGAGAAACAAGGTCAGGGAGGAAAAAAATGAAAACCTTACAGCACACAACTACCTGAAAAAAAAGTAGTCAACAGACAAGTTAAAACACGTTTGCATTTGCCAACACATAGCAGTTACCACACCATACATTTGTCAGATTTCCCAACCCGCAAAACAAAAGAAGCCACCCTTTTATGAAGTACTCATCTACTGACTTCTACAAAGAAATGACTTTTCTGGATTGGGGGCAAATTAACTTCCTGTGCTTTCACTCTGACTTTCAAAATCTTCAAAACCTTCAGCAAATTGAGATTCACCTCAATTTTAAGGC